CCCCCCCAAGTCATTGCGTAACTTAAGCACGGTACCTAGACCTGAGGCGAAAAATACGTGCCTTAATTTATTGCGACGTTTGAAAATCTCCCATTTGACTCCTGTTTCTTTAAAACTAATTCAAATACTTCCTTACAATTTCATGTGATCTTTTCACGATAAAAGAAAGAAAAATCCAAAAAAATTTCAAAAGGAACTGTTAGTTACTTTCCCTTGAACAAAAAAAAAACAAAAAAAAAAAACAACAACATGAGCGGAGATGCTTAAAACGTCGCAATCGCAATTTTTGTCTTTAGCCATCGATTTCCGCTTTAATTATCTACGGATCGTAATCGATAGTGGTTCAATGTATCGTTTCGTTCAAAACAAAAGAACATAATCTCGAACAAAAATTCTAGGACTTCAGTTGAAAAAGACGAAAATGAGAAAATTCCGAACAATTATTTCACTTTCCATTGCCATTTTGTACTCATAAGAATAAAAAAATCTACCACAAAAAAGCCATCCCCTCTGATTTCTAGATTGACTTTTGAGGCTATGTTGAACCAATCGATATCGATACAATCTCACCATTTCGATGTATTGAACATGATCTATTAAGAAATGAAAAAAAACATATTTGCAGCTGTCTACAAAAAGTTCGTTTCCCACAAAATTTGAGCCCATCAGCGGAAGCGAATACCGAGGTTTGACAACGTCATCGCTTGCCTCCGAGCGAACCACCCTATTTTCGCTTCACGGATGTCCTAACCTAGCCTAACGGTGCCCCATTTGCACCCCTTTCCCGAGACATCACGCGCTTTCGGGGGAGGTGGGCGGGCGAGACCCGACGATGCCGCGAGTGCGTTCGCACGCCCCATTGATCGCAAAACAAACAGACATTGATATCCAGGACAGGGTGCCAGGGTGGGGTGGGGGTGACCGAGAAAACTCATTAAGAGCGGCCAATTACAATTAACAGCTATAAAAGAAACATTTCGAGGTGCGAGTAGTCGCGGAGCGGTGGCGGCAGGCAGGGTTGCCACAGAATCTAGAAATTGAAGTTCCCTGATTTCCCTCACACGATTTGGTGAAATTCCCAGAAAATTAAAGATATGCTAGAGGGTAAAAAGACACATAGTTTTTGGCAGCATGGTATCCTCCGATTCCGAAGAAGTCGTGTATCGACATGGCAGCGTTCCAAAATTGTGCAAATTGCGGAAATGTTATCGGTGGTAATTTTTTGGATTGACCGCACCGCGATGCCTTTGTGGAAATGTTTATGGTGAAAATTTGCACCATTTGGCAACGCTGTCATGATACAACATGGCTCATTTGAACTCAAAGGATTTCGTGGTAAACACGGTCCTAATAGTGCAACGTAAAAAACCCTTGCGACGGATAACCGTAGCCATACGTTGTACCGAAGAAAACCGAAACGCCTGCAATTTTTTGTATGTGCAACACGGACATCCCACGAACACGAATAGTTGCATCCACAGTTGGTCATTCAAAACCCCTGAAGCGCCTTCAATTTTATCCGCTTATGATGGCAGAATGCGTCCCTCATTGCAATCTCACGTCATCATAGCACGAAGATAGGCCAGTTGCGTATTTAATCAAAAGAATAAAAGAAATAAGTAAATGAAAATTAAATATATGATTAAAATGGAGACTACTCACGCGACAATTACTTGCCTCACTTTATCGGCAATTAGACACTTTACTTCTTCTGAATCTTCTCATTGAATTTACTACGAAATAAGTAAAATCCTATAGATTATTTACTACATCTTCAATATGTGGCAGCGTTGCCAAAGAGTGCAATTTACGGAATTCTTATTGATAAAAACGGACGGAATCACTAAAAATCGTGATCATCGCTGTGTACGCAGAATGACACATTTTCTTGGATTCTACAATTCCCTGACAATCAAGTATTTATGGCATGGTTTCTCGAAGAAATTCTGATGACAGACGATCTTGAGCGCTAAATATCTTGAAAATTTAAAAAATGTAATGTTTTGGCTGGAGTAAAAAAAAAAATTCGCAGCACCTAACTTTTACCGGCTTAACGGAGTAGGGCAAAATTCTCGAGTTATAAGCACGAGTGTCTATCTTAAAGAAAAGAAAATTTAACTACTTGAAAATACGGGGTTTCTTGGTTTTACCGTCTATAAACAGGAGAATAAAAGCTCTCTGACTTTCTCAGTTGGCAACGCTTGATTCAACTATTAATACTTCACGGGTGTCCAAAAAAAAGAAGAAGAAGAAGAAGAAGAAGAAGAAGAAGAAGAAGAAGAAGAGTGCAAGTAATCTTCGAGGTGAACTTCAGCTATTGCGCAAAGCATTTCGGGTACAATCGATATATTTCAAATTTCAACCATTTAGTTCGTATCGATGGTTCATTGAGAACAGTACTTTTGACTTTTCTTCAGGTCTTTAGAAGATAATTTTCGGCACGAACACTCCTAAGTGATTTATCCACGGACTGAAATTACAATTTCCCCAAAATGATTCACCTTCAGATTCATGAAATACATCGATCGTACCCAGAATGCATTGCGCTAAAGCTGGAGATGGCCACCTTAAGGGTGTAAATAATCTAAGCGATGCTGATAAGTTGTTTTTGCCTCCATTTTTCTTTATTGTCATGGGAACGGAGTTCCCCATGATATTACAATCGTTCCGTTGCTTTCAAAATGGGATTCCCTATACCTCTGCGACCTTGAGCGTTTCGCCCAGTCTCCGATTTTTGGTTGATTTTCCGATGTATCAAAAACCGTTGTATTTTTTAGCCAATCATGTCTCTACGTCAAGTTGTGTTGATTGCTAAAATTCGCTTTCAGCGAGTTTTTTTCCACCTTCAGATGTCGTGTCTGACTGGTAAATCTACGCAGAACCACGA